CCCCAAAACCCCAAAACCCCAAAACCCCTATAAAAGTTGATGAAATTGATATATTCAAAACCTTCGTTTTATTTTATTTAAATAATTTAAATATGAGCATTTCTAAAGAAGAACTAAAGGGTAGCTCTAGCGAAGATGGTAAGACCCAGTTTGAATACACAGCTTCCCTTATGACTATATACATCCTTAGAATATCTCTCAGATCTCATTTCGTTGTGGTTTAAAGCTCTAGCATATTTTTTAATTGAAAGATTTCTTGTTATAAAGATCATTAAGAAAATGATATTCTACGAATTATTCTCTCAAGTGAACCTTTGAAAGAAAATATTTTAAGACTTTTTCTGTTTATATTGACAGTTAAGTAAACTCTGTAAAGCATTATAACAAGTGTTTGATATGTGAAATATTTTAATAATTCCTTCGTTTAGGCTCAAGTGAGAGTGGATCATACGAAGTCAAAAGTGATGTTGAAGATCTCCCAAAGCCAGGTACATTAGTACTTACTCTTTAGCTCGTACAAACAAGATTAATAGAGGAATGACATACGGTAAAGGAGCTGGGATTAATGGTATGCCAAAACTCTTCGGCCAAAAAGAACTCTCCGAAGAAGAAGCTGATTCAAGTGCTGCTGAAGAAGAGGAGAAAAGAGAGAAGAAAAAGAGCAAAATGAAGAAGCTAAAAATCAACAAAAAGGAAAAGAAAGATGACATAGATGACCTCGGTCGTATGGCTAGCCTACAAAATGAACGTGACTTAAAAAGTATCTTCCAAAATATTGCTAATATGAACAAAATGACAAGACCTTCCCTCTCCGGAGCAAGAGTGAGAGAAGCTAAAGACCCTAGAGAAGAAAAGAAAGAAGAAATAGACCCCTTTGGAAGAGTACAAAAATCTTTGGTTAGTGGGGAAGTCTACGAGAATGATAGAAAAGAAGGAGATCTTACTTTTGGAAGCTACATTGTTATTAGTATTGAAAATGAAAAGGAACAAAGAGAAAAGGATTATGACAGAGGAATGAAAACTGAACACAGAAAGTTCTTCTCCAAGTTCAGAATTTCAGATGTAGTAAAAGCAGAGAAAATGTCAAAAGAAAATTATGATTCAAATTGCGTGTTCAGAATTATTCCTGCTGCCCAATTTTCACTGATGAATAAATTAAGAGAGATTGTAACAGAGGAGATCATTCCACAGAACTTTGAATTGGATTATGAGAACTTCATCTCTGAAATGGAAGATAGTGTAGATACTCAAGATGATTTGATGGGAAAACCTATCAAATATGGCAGTAAATTTCAGCTGGTTCAAGAGAGTTCAAAAAGATTTTTATCGATGAGCACATCAAGCTCAACAAGAGTAGCAAAGATATTCAATAACCGTTATGTTGATAGCCAGTGTTATGACTTATGCTTCTCAGAATACCCATCTATGTTTACTCACTTCCAGTTTGAGGAGTGTTCCAACTTTCAGAGAGAAGGTAATGGAAACGTTAGTGTAGATCATTTTTTCTATCTTTCATCGAAAATAAAATCCAAGAGCTTTTATGCTTACAACAGTGATAAGTACTTAGTCATGACTCAAAGTTATAAAACGCCTTTGTACTATAACCTTGTCAGAGAGTCAGGGACATTTAATGAGATAGAAGATGTGCAGACGAGTGAAGTTGTGCTCATTGCTTATGCCAATGAGGACTACTTCTTAAACGTTCCTCACAGGTTTGATCCTGCTTCTGGTCAATATATTGAACAAAATATTGCTTTTGAAAATACCAGAGACTTTAATTCCTGGTTCATGGTTGAATACGATGAAGAGAAACAAATTGTTCACCTCAAGCATTTCAACACAGGGAAATATGTTAGTATCGAGAATTCAGACAACTTGGAAGAAGACGTTGCAAGGCTTGTAGGAGAAGTCAATGGTGAAAGAATAGAAGAAACAGAGATTATTTTTGAGCCTGTGAACACTACAAATACTAACGTATCAAGATATACAGATCAATGTGTTTTCAAAATTAGGGCAAATAATAAGGTAAGCTTTTACAAAATCATTCGCTTTTCTGACTGTCTAAATAGGGAAAAGATAACGAAGACAATTATATTAGATTTGCTAATGAATATGACAGAGAAAAAGTTGGACAAGAAAACGATAATATATTTGAAGAAAATGATAGCAGCAAGGTTCCTCTGGTTGTCCGTGATGCTGATTCAATCAACAAATATGATACCTTTAAACTGATATTTCCTACAGATGATACTTACAGAGAGTTGATATTTTGTAAAGATTCAACATTACGCTTGAAGGAAATTTTTAAGAGTGTTGACGAGGCCAAAGAGATAAATGAAGCTCTTGAAAAGAACAATCATGCATTATACAAAGTGTTCCTCAAAGTTTACAAATTTGTCACCAATGATCTTGAAGGAAGAACTAACTCAGATTATGATGTTGATGAAATAGTTGATTACAGACAAGAAATGGTTGCTAAGGCAGGCTTCCTCAACCAAATCTTCGACTTTTTAGATTATTGAATCATGATCAATAAGAATGAAGATGAAGAATGGTACACAGAGCTTCAGACTATTTTCAAAATTGCAGCTCAAGAGAATAATGATTTTGAAAATCTCATAGAGCTCGTTTTTGAAACCATGTATGTTCTATTTGAAGGAAATTCTCGGAACCAATTGGCTGCTACCCACAAAATTGAAACAATGCAACAGTTTGTCTTTGTTCCCAACATCACCAAAGTTCTGATCGTTATTTTTAAAGACAAACAGTTTGAAATGAACAAGAAGGAAATTCACACTGAAATTCTTTATCGAAGGATTTATGAATTTGAAAGATTCCAACCGATAGTTGATTCTTTTATTCAGAAATTAAAGAAGACACAGAATTCTCAGTACATCTTTATCTTAAGGAAGATCTGATTGATCGATGGAAACCCTCTTCCTCTAATTCAGAAGGAAATTTTTAACACAATTTATCAGCCAGTTGAGAGCGGAGAAAGCTGGGATGAGGACCAGGCTGAACAATTCATGTTTGGAGTTTCCTTTGAGGATGACACTCTCCATTTAACAACTCCCACAATTAATGATGCTGGAGATCAAGTGCTCGAGCATCCAGACGGACAACAAAGAGTAGTCAGTGGTGAAGACTTTACTTCAGGTTTATCCAACGAAGAAAAGAACTTCGTTTTAGATCAGCTTGCCTTAGAGGCAGATCTGTGTTTTGGAAGAAACAGATACTGTAATAAGTTCTTTAAGAGGAGATATCCTGTTCAAACTTTGATAAGAAATATCATTAACGAAAGGATTCCAAAAACATTAAAGGCAGTTCTAGTCAGAATCTTCACAAGTCTTTATATTGATGATCATCCTCACAGGCTCTTGAAAGTTTCTAGATGCTATAAAGCATATCAATCAGGGGATGATAGAGTACATGAAACTGAGTTTGAAAGATCAGATGAACTTTCCGCTGGTGATCTTAATGATCTATTTGAGTACATCAACAAATACTTCTTTGCTTTTGCCAAAGAGGCTAGAGGCCCTTCTCATGTCAAGCCATTCGAAATGGAGCTCGTTAAATGATGTAAATTTATGCTTAAATTTGGTATCTTTACTCATAGGAATAATGAATTCCAAGTGGATGACATTGATGATTTATTCAGTTTCTTGTGTCATATCCTCGACATTTTCACCAATAGAAAAGATTTTGAGTCTAGATCATTAGATCTGATTGCACAAAAAGATGAAATTATTGAGGACTACACCCAAAACAACCCAATTCAGAAGGCAGCGCATGATATAAAGTACAGAATTCTGAACAAGAAAGATTGGAAGAATACAGCAGTTGAAGCAGATCTTGGAAAATCTAAAGAAGATGGAGAATATAGAGAATCTCATGTTCATAGTAAAATTATTCTTGAAATTATGGAGATTTTTCACTTTTTGTTTGACCTCAGGCAGAACTATCTTATGGAGAATATTGTCGAAATGTTTCACAAAAGAGTGTTTACAAGAAATGTTGGTGAAGAACTATTTGATGATGAAAAGAGAAGAACCAAAGTTATTGCATCTATGGTTAGAGATTTCAAAAAGGTTCTCCCAGATAATTCTACTTTTTCTAATCAGCTAAAGTACAATTTCCCTTCTGTTGATGAAATGTACGAAGATAAAGAGTTTGAACAATTCAGAGAGGAGATTATGAGATCTCAACTAGGACTAGATATGCATGATGACTTCCTCGTTCTTCTCATGGACACATTTAATGTCAGTAGTGGCAACAAGTTCCTCCAACAGATGACCTTGACTATAATCTGTAGGTACTACTCAGAAAGATCGGAATTAGTCAGGAATATCGACAGAATGTGTCTCCTATTTGATGAAAATGAGTGGAAATTCTACCAATGGGTCAATATTACCATTGATATGTTCACTAGAGACACTGAAAAATCAGTACTTTGGCTCAATGAAGATGACGATTATAACGATCATGATCTCATTGACAGAGTAAATGGGTATCTATTCAATCTGAGAGCTGCTCTCAACCAGAAATATCAAATCTTAGATTCAGAGGGTGGCGGATATGAATTTGTTCCAATTGAAGGAGAAAGAAAGATCAATAAATTCGCGCAAAGAGTGTTTAGAAGCTTAAAAGTTTATGACCACCTAATCAACTTTATAATGAAAAATAAAAAACTTCTGATCAAGGTTAGAACTACTGATGACAAAGAAATGGGAGAAACAGAAAGATTGACCTGCAACAATATTGAAAAGATCTTCAGAAGATGTCTCAAGATTTTAGAAGCTTTTACAATGAGTAATAAAATTAATCAGGGTCTAATGTGGAAATATAAAGAAATATTCGTATTCCCTGAACTCGGAAGTTCTGAAGAGGATGGTGAGCTCGAGTTTATCCTCTCAATTGTCGATCAAAATGACATGGTTAAAGTAACAAGACCATTAGATGTGTTCATATCATGCCTTAACCAAAGAATGGGCCACGAATCTAATTTTGTAATTCTACTCGATATCTTCAATAAACTGATGGACTTTGAAAGTAATGGAAAAATAAAGAAATCCTTAACAAAATTGATCCTTGAAAGAAAGGATATGCTGGAAGCATCTAAATCTCCTAACAGTGCTACTTTCGAAGCATCAATTAATGTCAAAGAAATTTTATTGCATATCTTGCAAAACCAAGAGCTGTCATATGCCAAAGATTCCTTCATAGAATGCTTCCCTCTTGAAGAATTCATTGATAGACTAGTGGAATCACTTGATTGATTAGACAAATTGCAAGCTGAAGAGGAAGATGATTATCTTGATGAACAAGATTATGAAGAATTAAGAGAGAGTCAACAAATAGTCATAATAGAATTATATTCAAAACTCCATTTTAACAAGGATAACCTTAGCCTAGACTTTGAAGCTATAGCAGACCATTTCAATGAAAAGATAGATCCATACTACCATGAACTTCTTGACAAATTCAACTACGATGTTGATCTCGAAGATAAAGGCAGTTACAAACTTAGTGAAATAAAGCTGATTGTTCTTCATCTTCAAATTCTTATCAAAAATATCCTTGGATGAGCCAAAGCAGCAAATGATAAGCTCCTTTCTAGATCAGATAGAGATTATGAATTGGGTGAAAATATGAGACTGATTAGCTCCAAAATCGATAAAATTGGAGAAAAACTAACTGCTTTTCTTAAGAAACTTAGATCCTGCAAGAATGATGATATCTCTGATCTCTTGAACCAAATTCTAGGTAAAGAGAGTGAAGATGATGAATTGAACGAAGGAGTTGATCCTAAGAACATCAGCGTTGGAAATTCCATGAACAAGAGTGCAAAATTAAACCTAGCTGAGTTAGAAGAGAATGGAAGTGCAACTAATATCTCCTTCAGAATATCTCATGCTATCTCAAAAGCCCAAACTTCAAACAGAAGGGCAAATAATATTAAGATTAAGAATAGAAGGAGCAAGGAATCCATTGGTTTTGGGAAATGCTGGGCCATATACGTTGACAAAATATGCAACTCAAGAGTTGCCAGAGAGCTAAGTAATCAAGAGCAAGATGAAGTAACGACCATAATGTTTGATCAACTTACTAAGAAAGAAGAGAATGAAAATGATAGATTTAATGTTATGTCCTTAAAGAAATTCATTGCAAATGCTATTGATTATTCATGTGATTGAGAGAATGCCACATGGACAGTATATTTAGTCATATTTATCTTCAAATTATTCGGAAATCTATGCAAGAAATGAGAAGAGAAGTTGACTAGAAAAGATGAGTTAGATGAAATCATAGTCAGAAAGATTAATACCAATATTCTCGATATCATGGATACCTTAAGAAATTGCAACTACATCTTTGGAGTATTATGCGAAGTTGATGATGCTAATGTATTTCAAGATGAAATATTCATGATTACTCTTTATTTCTTTAACAAGCTTCTCATAGTTCGAACAAACAGTGTCCAACTGAAGCTTGAAGGAGTATTCAAAAATCATTCTGGAAATCAAGCATTTTTCAACCAATTAAATAGGTATTTACATTCATACACCTCTAAGATCAGAAAGAATGTTTTACAACCTTTCTTTGCAAAGCAAAAGTACACTGATGAGCTTTCTGAAAAATCATACTACATCGATAAAAACTTGGAAAAACAAATCATTGATTTCCTCAGATTAACTTGTAAGAATGGCAACAGGCAGATGCAAAACTATATGAAGAAGCAATCGAACAACACTAGGAGTTTTAACATGGTTTACAGCATCAATGATCTTTCGAAGGAATTGTTGACTCATCTCCATTATCCTGTTGCCTTCGATACATATATTTCCTGTCTCAGATGTATACTCGAATTTATCCAAGGGCCAAACAGAATAAATCAGACTATTCTCATCAACAATGACTTTGTCCCAAATGTTGCTGTTCAAATCCTTGCATTGGGATATCATGAAGATGAAGCTGAATATGGAGACAAGCTAGATCAAATTAATAAATCCCTCTCTAAAGGAATAAGCATTGGAATGACAAAGAGCCGACTCGGCCTTCCCTCGATTTCAGTTGGAAAAAGTAGTTTGAAGCAGTATGGAAACATTGAAGTAACTATGCCAACGACCAACTATATGATAAGTCTTGCTAAATACTGGATTCTCTTGATCTTGAATCATTTGACTGACGGCTATGAACCTTCTGATTACATCTACTATATATACAGAAGAGAGATAAATCCAGATATATTTAGGCAGAACTTTGCATTCCAGAGATATTTCTTCCAAAGGTTTAACAAGGATCAGTACAAGACAGAGCTATTCTTTTCTTATTATCAGAACATCAACTCAAAGAAGAGTCCAATGATCATTGAGATCGGGTTTGAGCTCTACTTCTTGATTAAGAAGATAGAAGAAAACATTAAACTTGATTATGATGAAAGATACACCAAGAGCTTAATAAAGCTTTTGCCAAAATGGGACAAGCCACAGATTAAGACCCAGTCTAACTTTTTGTTTGAGACCTTGTTCTACTTCATTGATATGTCTAAAGCATTCCTGAGCTTTTTCAGAACAAGCACAGATAAGATCAGCTTCAATCAAATCAGGAAGTATGCTCAGAATGATACTCAAATCAGAGCCACGCTTAACTTCTTTGAAAACAAGAGTGCCCAAATTGAAATTTATAAGCAAGGAAAGCTGCAAAAGTTTTGGTTCCCAAGACTTCCTTACTGAGTATTCCAGAATAGTGATGTGAAAGATGAATTTCTGCAGAACGTCAATAGAACTGATTCCAAAACAAAGTGTAACGATCTTGTTAGAAGCTCAAAGATTATGCTTGTTATTCTTAAGATTGACTACTTCTTAAGAAGCAGACTTGGAAACATCTTAGGATTAATCGTTGGATATATAGAACTTTGGAAGAAATACTTGCAACTCTTAGCTGTTGTCATTAATGTTTTGATTATTTTGTCTTATAATACTGATCTTGGCAGCAGGTTTAGGAAACCATCCATTGGGGATCTTGATGATACTGAAACTTTGGTGACTATCAGAGCTCTTGGAATTGTGAACCTTATCCTTGCCATTATTGTTGTAGGAGTGCTAATGGCTCAGAGAATTCCCTACAACATTCAAAAATTCCGTGTTAGAAATCAAGATACTAATAAAAGATTAAAGGAGTCAGGGCAGGTAGTTCATGAAGATCTAATCAGGAATACATACATAAAGTTCAATGCAGTCTATGAGACCACCAAGTTGATATTGTTTGATGTCACTCTCCTGTATCATATGATTTATTTCTTCTTTATTGTTCTTGGGGTTACTTATCATCCATTCTTTTTCTCAATAAGTCTCACATATCTGATTGTGAGTTCTCCTGTATTGATTAATGTTTTAAAGGCTGTGTATGAACCAAGAATTCAGATTATCTTAACGCTGTTCCTCACGATCATTGTCTACTATGTGTTCTCAATCTTCTCATATATGATTTTCCACAGTGATTATAATGAATCACTTGAAAATGCTTGTTACAGCTTATGGTCTTGCTTGTTCATCACTATTGATCAAAGTTACAAAAATGATGGTGCAATTGGAGGCTTTCTCCCTCTCCCATTCACAGCTGAAGAATCTGAAATCAAGGTAGAGTGGAGTCGATTCTTCTATGATTACATTTTCAACTTAGTAATTGCCATTCTCCTTACTGAAATCCTGAGTGGTATCATTATCGATAAGTTCAGTGAACTGAGAGAGAGCAATGAAGAAAAGAGAAAGGACGAGATGAGTGAGTGCTTCATTTGTGGACAAACCAGAGAAGAACTTGAAAAGAAGCTCGGATATAATGGATTCAAATACCACACCATCTTCCAGCACAATATGTGGGACTATCTCTTCTTTATAGGATATCTCAAGAATAAGAAGAATTCTTACGTAAATGATTATATGGAATCTGAAAGATACGTCCTCGAAAAGCTAGAAGATGATGAAAATAACTGGATGCCATGTTATGCTTAATTTTCATTTATTGTTGACCAATTATGTCAATATCAGCCAATCGAACTGGGGTTTTGGGGTTTTGGGGTTTTGGGGTTTTGGGG